ATTCTGTCCGTCCCATCTCCTCTTCCCGTTTCGGGACTGTGTTGTCGTGTGAACCAACCAAAACAATGAAAAAAAAAATGATTTAACAAATAAATAAATAAAAAAACCAGACTGTGGAATATTTAATATGAGAGATGTGGCAGTCTCATTACCTATATCTGAGTGCGCATATATTTTTTTTATCATAAAAAAGAACATATTGTGAGCAGCCAGCTACCCATTACACAGAAGGAGAGGATAAAGTGAGGTGGTAAAATTCAAGACTGTACCAATTGAAAGTGGAGGAAGAATCATAATTGGTGTCCAATGTTAACCAAAGCCCATATGCAATAAATTAGTATAGTAAGAGGAATAGCACCCCTGGAGATAAGCCAGCTCAATACAATTCTGTTTTTTTACAAAGTGAAGCTCTTTAAAAAAAATAAACACATACCTTCTGGCAGTTTAAAGTGGTGCCATCCAAAATTCTTATACATCACTTTATATATACATGTCATTTAGCCCTGGGAAGACAAACTGTGTGTCTGAACGCCACCCAGAAAGCAAGAGAAATCTAAAGAACTAGTATTGCTAAGATAATATATGTGAAGAACCTTCCACACAGTCAAACAATTTATATCAGTACTATTATCATTATTGTTATTGATCTCTAGTTCTTGGCCCCTTTTTCTAAAGAAGGCTATACCCATATTTCAGCGAAAACACACAGAAGTGTAATTCCACAAACATTTAAAAATAAGATAGTATATACCGTATTTTCCCGTGTATATGACGCCCCCATGTATAAGACACCCCCACACACTTTTCTAATCCTAAATTAAGAAATCTAAGTGGGGCTTAGCAAGTGTAGGGGGAAAGGGATCAAAGTGCTGCAGGATCACTTTGATCCCTGCTTTCCCCTCCATTTGTTTTTGTTCTCGCCTCAGCTTACTTCCGTGTATAAGACGACCCTCGATTTTAAGTCTAAAGATTTTAGACAAAACTATACCAATTATAGAGATATTCAAATAGTCTGAAGCTGATATTTTAAAATTCTATTAAGATGCATATGATCTGTTCCAGCTAATTCATCATCATCATCATCATCATCATCTTCTTAAAACTGCAGAGCTAGAAGGGCCCCTATAGATGATGGCATCCAGCCCCTGTCAAGGAGGCACAGTGGGGAATTGAACTCCCAACCTTGGGCTCCACGGAGCCATTATAATCCTCCTCTCAGCATTGCGGATCCTAAAAGGGATCCTATGGATCATCAAGCCTCCCAACCCCGCGGCCTCCACAGCCAGATACCAAAAGCCACCGACCTCTCCATCAGTTCTTGCCACCTCTATTGACAAGAGTGGCTTGCGCCAGCTAAATGATGGGCAGAATGCAGAGAGAGAGAGACACCGGAGCACGCTCGAATTGTGCTATTTTCACTTCTGTTTTAAATTATACATGACCAACCGAGGGATGCTTTGTGTCGTCCAAACACTGCCGGCGGTAGAAGCAGCCACAGTAGTTACATGTGACGTAGTGGTACCGTACATTTTCAGTGTGGCTAAAAATACGTCCAGGCTGGGTTTGCCACCTTGCATTTGGCCACAAGAGGGTGTGGAGAAGCTTCATCAGATATCGGAGCTGAAGGCAAAGCGGGACAGTGGTGGTTGGCTTGGGCAGGAATGTGTGTTTTTTTTAATGAGCCTTAACCTGGAATATCCCACCCCCCCACCTCTGCCACCCTTTCCCATGTTCCATTATAAAGGCTCCAGTTCTCGGCTCCTCTCCCCTCCCCTTCCCCCGTGGTCTGGCACTGCCCTCTGCCTCCGAAGATACCGCTTGACCCAGCTAATTTAAGCGGATTGCTTTTTCCATCTGGCTCCCATGGGTTGGGTGGAGGAAAGGAGAGGAGGAGGAAGAGGAGGTCATCGCCAAGGCAACTAAAGGATGGAGAGAAAAGGATATCACCATGGTGACAAAGCAGCTGAAGTTGATGACGGTGGAGAGGAAGCAGAGCAGTTATGTCTGCCGAAGCCATGAAGTTCGTTATGGCTGCAGAAAAGGCTTTTAGATCTTGATCCTTCCATTTTTTAAAAGCATTGCCAGCCTTTTGTCCATGCTTCTGTGCTTTTAAAGAGTAGCCACACTGCATGGGTGAAATGCTTCTGTCCACAGAAAAACAATGATGGGGTTGAGTTGGGTTGGGTTGTCATTCTGTCTGCAACAGTTTTAAGTCATTAGAGGCTTGGGAGTGTTGAGCTGCATATTTAAGGAGCTGGCAGTCATTCTGACCCTTCAGTCATACAATCCGAAGAGAATGACATGTTGTTGAGGGACACAGACCAGTACAGATCCAGGTACCAAACACATACAGTGCTGCTCCCCTTCCCTCTGAAAAGTAGAGCCACTACTCACTCTTTACACCCCAAAAGACAGAGTACATGCCAAGAACGGTCACCTTCCTTGGTGGGGTGAAGACTTCTGCCTTGAGGATGAACAGGCGTACCCCGCCCAACGTAAGAAACAGGAGCTTTTGGGGACATTTTGAGGGGGGGAAATGCCTAAGTAGGCTGGTAATCCACCATCTTCTGCAGCACATAATCACGTCAGAAACTACCAAGGTAAAAACCCTCTGCGATAGGTCAGAGATGCTGAGACCGTTGGATGCAAATGATTCAAAGAGGCGTCGTAGTCAGGTTAGAGTACCAAATTATGATGACGAAGACCAACCTCTCCTCTGTTATGAAGCTTGCTGGCAGATGAAGTATCAGAGAAACCTATAGGGCCCTTTTTTAAAAGAAGTGGCTTTAACCAGGAGAAGTATCCCAAAATATTAAGAGAGTGGATCACAAGAAATGAGAATCGCTCGACTGGATAAGGCCATAGATCCATTCCTGATGCCCCGATCCCAACTGCATTCAGATGTTAGACGACGTTAGTCATGGTGGCTGGAAACGAGGATGACAACGACAATCTATCTGGAGAGTGCCTAACTATGCTCTGTCATCAACCAGCTCTCTTTCCCGCATGCATACACACACATACACCCTGCGGACAAGGAGACAGAGATTTATCACTGCACACCGCCCTTGATTTTATAAAAGCCGATGAGGCCCAAGAGACACACTCTCCCGGGGTTGTTCCAGAGAAGCCCTGCTATAAAGAACAGAAGAACAGCATGATTTAATCTAGAATTTATTAACTGCTGCGAGAATATTAGTCACTTGTAAATGGCGTCGCATTAAGACTCTTAATGTTCTCCAGTGGATGAATAATGGTTAGGTAAGAGTACAACTTACAGCACAGCTCACATTTAAAGATGGTAAGCAGTGGTGGAGAGTGCTTCATAAAATAACTGTTATTAGAGGCTGAAGCAGGGTGGGAATATAAATAGGCACAGAAGCTTAAGTCATTGCAATAAGTGGGTTAACTAGAGGTTGAAAAAAGGCTGGTAGGTCCTGAAATTTCAGCGACCTAAATCTTACCGCTTCTTCCAAACACAGTAGATTCAATAAATCAACTGCGGAATGGTGAATCAACACTTACCCATATCCCATGGATTCAACAGATCTACTCTAGTTGACACTAGCGACAGGATTCTGGCTAAGAAGGCCTGCACAAGTGAACTACTAGATTATAACCCATGTGAATTAGTGACACTGCCGTTGCTTCGGTTTTTTAGTCTCAGGGATCAATAAATACATCAATGGTGCGGATCAAACAAATGAAACTGACTAAATCATGCAAAATGAAATGTGCAGAGCTGGGTTAGTTTACTCCACCTCTGGCACAGACAGATTCAGTTTTCCTGACCACAGATTTTGGTGGTTTTTTTTTTAAAATTTCCAATTAAAATGTGATCCTCTTCTGGTAGGCATCAGCAACCAAGAATGGAATAGGCCTGCACCATCTTTCCTATGGAAAGCTGCCATTCACTGTTCAGCAAACCAATACATATGGGCATAATTAAACGGCAGAGTTACTCTAGGTGAACACACAAATGTTTCAACGGGTGTGGCTTCATGTGCCACTTTGACCTCTTGGCTAGCACAAATGAAACACTCAGAAGCTCTATTAAACGTTCCAAGAATGTTCTGATTAACACTTTTTGCTCCTTTGATGTTGCTGATAAAAGGGGGGGGGAACCCGAAGGTTGAATGCAGGGAGTTTGTAACAAACCTCCAGGGCTTGGTTTTTGGTTGAAGACTATGGTGAATATGTAGCATCTTGGGTAGGGAGTTTGATGTCTTAGATGGGAAAACCCCAAAGTCAATGAAATTAGGCATTCAGAGAAGGGAAGGTTGTACAGGAATGTGGGTGGCGAGGAGAAACCTGAAAATGAAAGATGTAAAGAGGGCACTGATGGTTTCATACCCCTAGAGGAGGCCCCCAAACTAGATTTTAGTTCTTGGGGAACTCAAAAGAGGAAATGGCACATAAAAGGATGAATGAAATAGCAGCGATATATACAAAGATCAGTGGAAGAGCAACAGAGAAGCAGGGACATGTGGATGCACAGGAGATCAGAGGGAACAGTGGGATTCTCCACTCTTCAGACTGGTTCCATCTGAAGCTCATCGGTCTCAGCGGACTCCAGTTCATGGAAGGCTGCATGCGAACCAATAGTCACCAAAGTGGCGCCTACAGGAGACAAGAAAGGAGGAGGAAGGAAGAAACCAAAGTTAGATTACTTATCCCTGTCCAACATGATACAAGCCTCTTTCCTTTGGAGCCACGGTGGAGGGGAAGAAAGGGACCCAAAATAGGAGGCATAGGGTCACGTGCAAACGTGAGCAGCATGGAAGGCCAAACCTGAAAGAGTTACTTTTTCAGAAAACAGGCTGGGAGGTCCTGGGAATTGCATCACAGCAACAATAGTGTCAATAATCATTTTTTTCCAGCTCTGATGGAAGTGAGAGATCTCCTCCAGAGTTACTGTCGCAGGCGGAACTTAATGTCCTCTGTCCTTGTCTGCACGGACACTCCCTAAGAACAATGAATCATGTATCCAGATCTTCAAGGGAGGGGAAGAAAATGAGTTATTGTTGACTAGAAATGCAGAAAGGTTCAGGACCAACATTCCCTCTAATAGTCATTCCCACTGCGTGGGAGCCTTGCCCCCTTGCACACATGGAGGAGTGGGGCTTCATCTGAAACAGGAAGTAAACAAATTGGCTGCCGGCTGCCCGTGAGCAGCCAGAATGGAGCTCCGAGCGCATGTGCCTTAGAAGGAATATTGGTTAGGACCCAGAGCTGGAAAGTGGCAGTCTTATTTACTCACCCAATACCCAGAAGACGGCTGAGCCAGCTCCAGCTAGCCAGAAGAAGGGAAAGGAAACCGCTCCCGCCAGGCCATACTGATGGGCTGTGCTTAGCTCCCGCCCTGGAAGAAAAAGAGATTGGGCAAAAATACAGACGGCTGGCACACAGGAGCTCTGTTCTAATGCCTGAGTTGAAAGTGGAAGCCTTAATCAGCTGATTAAAGTGATCACAGGCCTGAGGCCAAATTTCTGTCTAGCTGCGTCCAATGTATGTGAGAAATACAGCCTTCTGTGGTCCAGGAATTGCTGGTCAGGCTCTGGATCTGAACTGTTCTTGTTGATTCAGCACCATCTGGTGGCTCCCCTCAGTTCTGCAACTTCCGATGACACTGACACCTGAGAGCTACTTCAGGGTGATGTCTGCAACCAATGCAGCATGGACAGATTTAAGAAGAGGTAGCCAGGTTGCATAACCCAGAGCGACTCCCACTGTTACACTTTAAAAATGCAATGAGAAGTGCCCTTCGTGGCAAGAACCTTGCTTATGGATAGCTAATATGTCAAGGCTGGGACGTGGTGGTCGCTGGGATGTGCTGGCGCTGCAGGTTAAACCGCAGAAGCCTCTGTACTGCAAGGTCAGAACACCAGCCATCATAAGATCGAATCCATGTGATGGAGAGAGCTCCCGTCGCTCGTCCCAGGTCCTGCCAACCTAGCAATTCGAAAGCATGCAAATGCGAGTAGATGAATAGGTACCACCTCGGTGGGAAGGTAAATGGCGTTCCGTGTCTAGTCGCGCTGGCTACGTGACCACGGAAACCGTCTACGGACAAACGCTGGCTCTGTGACTTGGAAATGGGGATGAGTACCGCTCCCTAGAGTCAGACACGACTGGACTAAATGTCAAGGGTTTGACATTTACCTAACATGTCAAGGTTTTAGGCCAGTCTCTTCCTTTATGTGCTAGTTTTCCACACCTTTTTTAAAAAAATGTGGGAGACTGGACATTCAAAAATGTAAAACAATAAATTCACGAGAACATTATCCTGTGCTCATTATTACTGCTTCCCTGCTTGCGCTGGTATGTCATTCCCATGGAAACAAAGTCTTGGCATGAATCTTCTACTTACCAAACACCACCAGTTGCGATTGCTGGGTTTTCAGGTAGATAATGTAACAGGCCCCAAAGAACACAGCCAGTGCAATCAGGAGAAGGGGAGATGTGATGCTAGCAGGAGAAAGGAAAAGAGAAATACAGTTAGCTGCATCAAGAAAGGTATACGGTACATCAGCCTAGGTCTGTATGCAAAGTAAAGCTAAGATGATACAAGGGCCACAATGAAAAAAGGATCCTAGGATGTCATTCTCGAAGTAATGTAGCTTAGTACATGCAAAGCCTCTTCACGGGCTTTAATCGGGTTTTCTTTCTCTCTACTCCAGCATTCTGTTCACATAGCGACCCATAGGAAACAGCCCAGAAGCATGGCATAAGAGAAGGAGCATCTTCCTCCTGGCGCCGCCATGCAAGAGAATCCCCCAGGCTGTCAACGAAGTAGAGAAATCTTAAGCAATTAATAAATTCTTTCATCAATTCACCAATGACTAAAACAATAGTTCTGAGGCAGAAAAAAGAAGGCATACTTTGTTTTTAAAAGGTCTAATAATTATAATCATGTGCCGCTAAATCACAGGATGGCAGCCCTTTTCCAATGTTTTCTAGGTAAAGAATACTCAGAAGTGGTTAACCATTCCCTTCTTCTGGGGGGCTGCCCTGGGACTGTACAGCTTGCCCAAGGCCACGCAGGCTGGTTCTTCTCACATGAGGCCCAGCGGGGAATCGATCTGCCAACCTCTGGCTCTGCAGCCAGATACCCAAACTAATAAGCTACCCAGTCACCTCTTTAAACAGTATTGGTCATAACAAGTACAGCATCATCTGAGAATATGCAGCCTTTCTTCACAATTAAGACGCCTTCCAAAGGCCATTTTAATGAGTCAATGTGGTGCTGGACTAAAGAAGGCAAGTAGACCACGGTTCAAATCCCAATGATGTCACAAGAATCTCACAGCATGAGCCTGAACTAGTCACACAATCTCTCAGCTTAATCTACCTCGCAGGGCTGTTGAGAGGAGAAAGTAGGGATGGGGAAGAACCGTGTTTACTGTGACTGGAGCTCCCTGGAGAATCGGATAGATAAAAAGGAAGTAAATAAAATACTTTTATTAAAAACAATTAATGATGTTGACTGGAGCTCAATGAGGGATGTATTTTAACACTATGTTTATTTTTTTTAATCTATTACTCTAATTGCTTAAAGGTGGAATGCCTGTCTGGTACCAGATTCTGCTTATGTTACAACTTTGGGATATATAAATATTTTTACCCAGACTTTCTCCTTAAGGAGGACCCAAATTGGCTGGCATCATTAAAATATACTATTTAAAACTTAAAACACTAAGAACACAAATACTGGAAAGGATCAAACGAACACTACACTAAAAGACAATAAACAAAATCAACACTAAAAACATATTCAAAGCAGCACGCCATAACCATCCATTTAAGAAAAACCCACTTAGGCAGCTCATCATTAAGGGTAAGCTTGCCTGAACAAAAAAAGGGTTTTGTTTGCTTGCAAAGATGGGGCCAAGCTGGCCTCCTGTGGGAGGGAGTTCCAAAGTCTTGGAACAGACACAGAGGAGGCCCTTTCAGTGTCCTTACCAAACACATCTGTGAGGGTGGTGGGATTAAGAGAAAGGCTTCCCCTGATAATCTTGACACTTGCGGAGGCTCATCAAGGGAGACGTGGTCCTTGAGATAGCTTGGGTTCAAGCCATTTAGGGCTTTATAGGTTAGAAACAGGACTTTGGATTGTGCCCAGAAAAGGATCGGAAACCAGTGCAGTTAATGAAACGGGGGTGGTGGTGGTGGTATGTGATCCCTGTGGCCAGCCCCTGTTAGCAATTTGGCCCTGTGTTTTGGACCTGCTGATGTTTCTGAACATTTCCAAGAAGCAGCCCCACATAGATTGCGTTACGCAGCGATGACAATATTTAATGATGTGTTTAGCACATGGTTAGGGAAATCCTGAAAGGCACTGTTCAGTTAGAACAGAGAGAGACACAAAGCACTTACAGGCAGTAGACAATGAGTCCCAAGAAGACAAAGACGTAGTTGCTCTGGAAATATTCCACGTTGCGCACCAGCCGTTTGCACAGCTCGCCGAAGTTCCGGGGCTTCCCGAAGCGCCGCTGGTCGACGAAATTCGCCCAGGGCCGTATGGTGGCCCGGCGCTGATCCAGCCACTCCTTTGCTGGCCCTTGGGGCAAGAGAGCTGGGATGTTGATCCTGGAAGTGGGCAAGATGAGAAGGCGAAGGGATGAGGGAGCCCGTTAGAACATGAGGGGAGTCACAAAAGCCCTCCCCTCATGCCCCACACGCCCGTTACAAGCCCCACGACTTTTCCCATGGAGCTGCAGTAGTTCCCAGCCTTTGAGGCGCTAATGTTCTTAGACTGTGATTCCCGGAAGCGCTACCCGGCATAGCCAGTGTGTGTGGCTCCTGGGAACTGCAGTCTGGGAACCCTCTGGGGTTCCCATTGTGGGAGCTTCCACCCTAGAGCGATGTGGTCTCCCCCACCAGGGACCTCCAGCCATGAGGTTCCTCCCGCCAGCTTCTTACTTGGTGCCCAGGACAGTTCCTGCGGCCTCCATCTCAGTCGCCGGGTTGAAGAGATGCTCTGGTCCTGTTTTGCCAGCCATTATGCTTCACACAATGCCAGATACGACCGAGGAGCTACGGAGAGGTAAAACAGAAGTCAGAGAGTGAATGACAAAGACAGGCGTCAGGTGCAAAGCTGTGTCATTGGAGTGAGGCCAATAAGAAAGCCAGCTTGCTCGGTGGGTACAGACGAGGGCTGGAAAGCAAGGCATCTCACAACATATTAGTTTGGCAAAGTCAGAGAGTGAATGACAAAGACAGGCGAGTCAGGTGCAAAGCTGTGTCACTGGAGTGAGGCCAACAGGAATGCCAGCTTGCTCGGTGGAGACAGACGAGGGAGGCATCCTACAACATATTAGTTTGGCGTACTTCACAGAGTACTCAAGAGGCAAACAAGGATTTTGCACACGGCGTACACACTTCAGTTGCCTTCCTTTGGCCACTTTTCATTCCCTCGTTCAACAAGTTTCCTGATTGCTCTCTGCCAATAGCTAAACCTCACCAATTACTTTACAAGGGGAAAAAAAAAAACAAGTGCACTTGTATTCTGAGATAACAGTTGACTTGTAAAATGCCTGGGAGAGATATTTGGAACTATGCAAACAAAAATACATCCTGCATAGAGGAACCAGGAGGCACAAATGAAGGCCAAGAGGAACCAGGACATTTCCTGGTGTTATCAACCAGCCTGAAGAGAAGAGGCACTTGTTCAGCAGGCTGAGGCAAAGAGGCAGTCCCGAAACCAGCCAAACCAGGGAGCTGGACAGGGGACAGATTGTATTTGTTTTCAGTGTGGAAGGGATGGTCACTCTC